GGGGGGGGGCCTTGGCTCATGGTGCCCGGGTCCGGGGCGGCTCCCGGTCACAGGCCCCCGCCGCCCGCCGCTACCGTCACCACTGCCGCGTTCGGCCGGAGCCGCAGCCGCCACCGCCGCCGGCCCTGCTCGGCCGCCATCGCTGTGAGGCGGCTGCCCGCGACAGCTCCTCCTCCGCCTGCCAAATCTCGCGATAGTGGCGGCTCAGCGGCGGGGCGGGAGGAGGGGGGGCCGCCCCGCCCGCATGCTACCAAGTCTCGCGAGGCTCGTTTTCCCTCCCGGGAAGTTGCCAGAACTAACTCTGGGCAGCGCGGCTTCTTTCCGGCCTCTCCAAGTCCTTGCGAAAAACTTTATTGACAAACCTGCCAGAGAACGGACAGTGGACCCGGCGAGGGGCTGGGGCTCAGCTAAGGGTCGCGGCAGATGGGCCCACGGCCAGGAGCGAGACTGTGTTTTGCGCTGCGGTGGCCATTTGGTCCGCTCTGCCGACCCTACACCTGTCCCCCCATTTGAGTCGCGTCTCTCTCAGGTTGCAGGTGATCCAGTTCTCCCTTTCCCCCGGTGCTTAAAAGAACAAACGAAAGTGTATGTGAGAGTTTCCTGGGGAGAGGAGGACCGTAAGAGTGAGGCCCCTCCAAGACGTGACCCTCGTGCAGGCGCCTCGCCCTCAACTCCCCTACCCCACAGCCTTCCACTTGCTGTCTCTCAGCAGCCCAGCAGACATTTATTGAACGCCTGCTGTCTTCCAGCCTTGGGTTCTGGAGACACGGGCGAAGAGCGATCCAGACCCTGTCCCGCCCTCACAAAGCTCAAGTGACTTTGGGGTGAGGTCCCACAGGAATGAGAAGCCCCTCTCTCACGTTTCCGCCTTGGAAAGATTACCTTGGATTCCTATTGCTTTCTTGGCATTGAACCTAGGCTAAAAAAAAAAAAAAGCAAGGTATCTTGGGAAGTCTGGGGAAGTGGTGATAGGAACATAAATTCCCTTCCACCTCGGTGCTCCTGGTTCCAGCCACCAACCTTTCTTCTGTTCCTGAACCAGCCTAAGTGGGTCTTTTACTTGCTCTGTCTCCTCCTTGGAGCCCTCCTCATTTCCTGTCAGGTCTCAGCTCAAATGTTGTCTTGGCAAAGAGGTTTTCTCTACTCAAACTGTCCTATTGATTCGGCTCTTTATTATCTGTTACCGCAACAGAACAGGCTACTCGAGGGCAGGGACCTTGCTTGCACTCTTCTCTCCTATGTCTGTGCCTAGAATAGTGCCTAGCCAATAACAGGTGCTCACCAAATACTGCACAAGCGTAGAAGTTCCGCCTTTTCTACCTACTCCGAGCACCCTTTGATGTGCCCTCTGCTTTCCTGAGCTTCAAGCTCCTACACATCCCACCTGCCTAGAGCACACACTTACCCTTGTGCCCAGCTGCACCCCCACTTTCGGAAAGGGTGACGTCCTCCACTGCTTTTTCTGTCGGCAGATTCAGCAGGGCAGGGCCTGCCCCTTTAATCTGGGCCCCACCTGCTCTGGTCAGACAGGTTTGGAGACACAGGTAAAGGGAGAGAGACTGAGAGGGATACTTGCAGAGCCAGCAGGGAGCTGGGCAGCTCCTTCCCAAACGTTGGGGACCCTCCGCCTCTGCAGATGGAAAGTAAGAGGGTGTCATGGTTCCACATGGCAAGGGGTAGAAGGCCCTTGAGGAGGTGGAGGGAGGGGACTCTGCCCCATCCAGAAGCAGTGAGATGGGGGAAACGGAGAAAAACAGGAGGGGAGGCATGGGGAACGGCCATAATTAGACCTAGAAGCCAGAATGGACAGCCCCAGGCCCCCTGGAGAGGGAGGACGGAGGGCACGGACTAGCGAAGAGCATGGAAACCACCCAGGTACCCACACTGCGGACGAAAGAACAGGGCGCACTGCTGTTGCGGGCTCCTTGGGACAGATTTATTAGCAAATCACTGGTATCGGTTTCCAGGAGAGTTTCAAACAAGGATCTACAAGAAGGGGAGGTTTGAGGGTAAAGGCGCAGCCTCTGGCCACAAGAGGCCCCTAGTGGGAAGGGGGCTCCAGGCAAAGTTCTGGACACCCCACCTTCCTCTGGTTTCTGCACTAGGGTGGGCGTGACCCCGGGGGTTTCGGAGGGGCTGGTAGAAGGCACGGGGTGGGAGCTGGCTGAGGCCACAGCTGCCAACGCCTGTGCCCCCTGACTCACCCTCTCCTGCTGGATGGCATCTGACGTCGAAAGGGTGTCTCCATTTCAGCCGCTCCCTTCCCTCCCACCTCCTTCTGTTTCAACACCTTCCTCGGTACCTGTTCTCCCTAAGGTCCCAGAAGGGGCTAAAGCCCGTGAGACCAGCTGCCCCAGAGAGTTCCAAGTCTATCCCCTTGTCCCAAGGGCCAGAAGCCAGGAACTTTTGACAGAGCTTTCTTCTGCTCCCTCTAGGGTGATAGGACCTCATGGTAGACCCCAGAACTGAGGCCCCAGGATGACAGAACCCGAGACCCTGGCCCTGCTGGAAGTGAAGGGGTCTGAGGCCCCGGAGAAGAGCCCGCCCCAGGCCTTGGTCCCCAACGGCCGGCAGCCGGAAGGGGAAGGTGGGGCTGAGTCCTGTGGAGCCCAGTCCTCCAGGGCGGGGTCTTCTGCTGGGTCTCCCACAGCCGAAGAGGGGACTGAGGATGGTCTCGACAGCACGGTAAGCGAAGCTGCCACCCTGCCCTGGGGGACTGGCCCTCAGCCCAGTGCCCCGTTCCCAGACCCCCCCGGATGGCGGGACATCGAGCCCGAGCCCCTCCGCTCAGAGCCACCCACCAAGCTAGAGGAGTTGTCCGAAGATGATGCCAACCTGCTGCCCGAGAAGGCGGCCCGGGCCTTTGTGCCCATCGACCTGCAGTGCATCGAGCGGCGGCCCCAGGAGGACCTGGTTGTGCGCTGCGAGGCGGGTGAAGGCGAGCGCCACCGGACCCGCCCGCCTGCCCGGGCCACCCAGCCCGAGCCCCCCGAGCGCAAGTGGGCCGAGGCCGTGGTGAGGCCACCAGGCCGCTCCTGCGGGGCCTGCGGGGGCTGCGGGGGCCGGGACGGGGTGCGGGCCGTGGCCTCGGTGGGAGCCGCCCTCGTTCTCTTCCCCTGCCTGCTGTACGGGGCCTACGCCTTCCTGCCCTTCGACGCCCCGCGGCTGCCTACCATGAGCTCCCGCCTCATCTACACGCTGCGCTGCGGGGTCTTTGCCACCTTCCCCATCGTACTGGGTGAGCCGGGCAGGGGAGAAGGGAGCGGGGCCGGGGGCGGAGGTCCCCTTCCCTGGGCCTCCCCCGCGCCGCCCGGTGTGCCCAGCCGGTGCCGGGGTGGGAGCCCCACCGCGAACCCTCCCCCGCCTCCCGTTGCCACTGGGCGCTGACCCCCTGTGCGCCCTTCCCCCTTCCCCCCTGCCCCAGGGCTCCTGGTGTACGGGCTCAGCCTCTTGTGCTTCTCGGCGCTGCGGCCCTTCGGGGAGCCGCGGCGGGAGGTGGAGATCCACCGGCGCTATGTGGCCCAGTCGGTCCAGCTCTTCATCCTGTACTTTTTCAACCTGGCCGTGCTCGCCACCTACCTGCCCCAAGAGACCCTCAAGCTGCTCCCTCTGCTCACTGGTCTCTTTGCCGTCTCCCGGTGAGTGGGGTTGCGGGTGGGGCCCGGGGGAGATGATGGTGCTGGAAGGGCCCAGGCGTCTGGCCTGGGGAGATGGGGGCAGGGAGCCTTCTGGACTCTGCGTTAGCCCACGCGTGCGTCCCGCATCGGTGCCTCCACTGTCCCCCTTGCACCTTGCCTCAGCTGGTAGCAGGTGTGTCTTCCCAAAGGGAGTTGAGTTCAGAGACCCAGGTACCAGCCTAACACTAACACTGGAAGGGCTTTCCGGTGTCATCTCGATCAACAGTTGCTGGGAGCGCTGTTCCGTGACCCTCTGGTCAGCTGGCCACTGGCCTCTAGCTGAACACTCCCTGTGACCAAGTGTCCAGTTCTTTGTAAGAGTGTCTGTTTCATTTTTCAAGTCCCATCACTAGAAAGTTTTTATTTATAATTGTGCTAAAAAGTGCGCCCCTGACTTTGACTCTGGAGTTGCCTAAGACAATTCAGACACTTGACCACAGCTCCCAGTCCCCCCACTGCAACACCCTGCTCCCCCAGGGTCCCTCAGGCTCCTGTGACCTTCCCTCTGGCCAGGGGAGTCTCCTGCTTGTCCGTTGTCACAGGCATTGGCCTCCTGTTCCTACAGACGGGAGGCCACAGTGGCTCTCATAGCAACCCCACTCCTCTGCTCTCATTTGGAAGTCACCTGAACCCTTGGGGCTGCTTTCACGTGAACTGCTGCTGACCCAGAAAGTACTTCTGAATTTCGGGAGGCACACGGAGATCTTCCCATTTTTTCCCCTAACGTATTTCCTGTTGTTAACTTTTGATACGGGATTCCCGGTCACTTTAGCTGCTAGAACATTCTTTCTCTTGAGCTGGAATCTGTCTCCTCTGCCGCTTCTGATTGTAGTGTAGTGGTTGTCTGTCCCACCGGCCTCCTGAGCAGCGTGCAGCCTGGTTTCTCCTCCTTGTGTGACTCACCCTCCCGTGTGCGTCTTGGGGAGTGCTGATCTCAGACAGAAGTCGGGTTGAGCAGTAAGGATCGTCAGGGGGCTAAAGAGCACCCCAGGGTTGTCCAGCCTGCCTCACCCACTTCACCGTGGGGAAGGCACAGCAGACCAGGGGAGAGGAGCTGCTCAGGCCGCTCAGCAGTGGTGGGGCCTGGAATACTGGCCCCTCCGTCTGTCACCAGGGCCCTTTCTTCCCTACCACGGGGCAAGTTACTCAAAACGCTCGGGCCTCCACTTCTCCATCTGTGAAATGGAGCTGTGGGGATTAAGGAGTTAATTCACGTAGCGAGCTTGCCAGAGTCGGCCCGATAAGGGCTCACCAGGGGAACCTTTCCTTCATTCTGCCTTGCTGCCCCCCCCCCCCCCCCCCGGGGCAGTACAGAAGCAGCAGGTACTTGCCCCTGCTCCGGGAAAAGAGCGAGGCACGTCACTTGTGTAGTAAGGGGTCCTTCCCGTATTGAGAGGAAGCTGAGGGGTGTGGACTTGGAGTGGATCTTCCGAGAGGGGAAGGCCCCATGCCTCTGGGCTTCAGGCCCTCTCAAAGCTGGCTTCCTTACCCTCCCTTCCCCCCCGCCCCTCTAAAATGGCAGGAGAGAGGGCGCTGAACGGGCTTGGGTTCAAATCACGCTTCTACGATTTCCCTGATGTGTGACCTTGGGCCAGTTTTACTTAACCCCTTTGGAATCTGAGTTTCTTCTTCAAAAGGAGAGAGAAATACAGTGGAGCGTACGGCAGCCGTAAAAGAATGAGGAGGCTGTTTCTGTACCGATGGAGCTGCGCCCAAGACACGGTCAATGGGGAAAAGCGTGCAGGGCCGTCTGCACGGCATGCTACCAAACTTGAGAAAAGGAAAGCATAAATCTTTTGCTCACTCATCTACACGTACCACAGCCCTTGATGTGCAAGCCACCGTGACACTGGACGTCCGAGGAGGGGGTGGGGTGGAGCTGGAGAGAACAGGGCGGCTGCGAGTCAGGACAGGAGGACGTTTTACCGCGCTCACCGCGGCCTTGGCGTTTCCAACCATGTGGCTGTATGGTGCCTACGCCAAAGTTTGACACTTAAGTTTAAAAAGGAGACAAAGAGGGAGGGGAATGACGCCTCGGCCTCTCAGACACGTGGGGGAGTCTAAATAGGCCCCTGGAGGAATCGGTGCGGCGCCTGGCACACAGTAAGTGCGTAACCGCCAGGGGTTGAGAAGTGTCAGTTGTAGGCACCGACCCGCGTGGGTCCCCCTGCCTGTGCTCCCCTCCCCCAGCCTGTATGCCAGCTAGCCCGTGCACTCCTCTCCGGGGGCCTGACTTCCTCTTGCCCCCCCCCACCCCGCCCCCCAGGCTGATATACTGGCTGACCTTCGCCGTGGGCCGCTCCTTCCGAGGCTTCGGCTACGGCCTCACGTTCCTGCCCCTGCTGTCCATGCTGGTGTGGAACCTGTACTACATGTTCGTGGTGGAGCCCGAGCGCATGCTCACCGCGGCCGAGAGCCGCCTCGACTACCCCGACCACGCCCGCTCGGCCTCGGACCATAGGCCCCGGCCCTGGGGCTGAGTGCCGCCCTCTCACCGCCCCCACCCCAGGCCGAGCTCCACTACTGCCCTGTCTTCTGCCCTCCGTCGGTATTGCCCTCCGCCT